AAATGCTATAACTTTGCAATGAAAGGCCATGTAGAGTTGGGAGAGGTCTCATTTTAATGAGAAATGTGCGGGCTACAATCATGCCTCATTAAGAAAGCTTTTTGTTATTCTTTAGAGTTTCTGAAAAACTGGTTTTCTAGAAATCCGGTCTCAGGAGGGCTAAGGGCCAAAACGGATGTCATATTCGGATTCAGCATACTTGATTACCTATTGTCCACTAGCTCACGGCTCAAAAGCGATTAGACAGTTAGTGTCCTTTCCTCGTGAGTCGAATGAAGTATCTTTCAAGTTAATTTGACAACTTTCATTTTTCCTTATTTTTTCAGATATCGTCGGAGGCCTGAAATTGTTGTATACGGGTCAAAAAATGAAAGTTGTCAAATTAACTTTAAAGATACTTCATTCGACTCAGTTTTTTGTGCTGATATCGGATCTGTATTTAGTTTATGACTAAAAGTCTTATTTGAATTCGAAAACATTGAATACCGCCTAAAATGACTATGATACCAGTAAAAACGATTTTTCTCAACACAGGAAAGAAAAGAAAAAAAAGTGGTCTGTAACTTTGTGAGTGGTGATATGATGAGTCGAATGAGATAGAATATTTGACTCCATCACTTACGTAGAAAAACTAGATAGGTTTACAAAATCGACCTATACGTTGTGGACTCGATGTGATTCGAAGCGCCACCACCAACAGAGTTTTGGGTCTAGAGTCATTTTAGCAACGTCTCGGTACTCAGTTTTTGATGGTGAATCTGAAAAAATTAGTTTCAGAAGCTGGAAAAGAAATAAAGTAGAAAATTTTGCACATTTCGAAAAAGCTGTGTTTTTCTCGAAAAATGACACCTCTCGAGTATTTCGTATTTTTCGACCGGAAGGAAGCATTTGCTATGGCTAAAAAGTAGATTTTCGCGATCAGCAGCTCACGCTCTATCAAATGATGTAAAAAAAGGCAAAAAAAAATTTTTACTCGAATTTTGCATTGCCTGCACCTTACGTAAATCATGCATTTTGTAATATTGGATAAAAATGGTTTAAAGCCACCTTTTCTACAGACGAAGATCACCACATGATTCAACCTGCCCATAACAGATCGTGTTTAACGTTTCAAACAGTTAGTAGAAGTCAGTCTGAAAGCTGAGAGTAGAACGCGTCGTTAAAAGAATACAGGGATATCAGTGATATAAAATTTATCTGTCATATTTTCAAATGCCAACACATGTATCTCAGGCAAAATTAAAATATCATGCGCCAGAGGTGGGATCGGTTCCTGTTTTTTCAAAATCGAACTGGGCTGAATGGATTCGTTTTCTAAAAAGCTCAGGCTGAACCAAAGATAAAAATCGTTTTCAGAGGAGAAAAGGGTGAAAACATGTTACAAAGTAATAGCCTAATCGTAGAGTATAAACACAACATAAATCTGTGATGATGAGAATCCATACAGTGGAGATAACAAAAGTTATCCACTTATGTTTAATCAATCACAAAGAGTTTGTTTGTATTTTTGATGCAAATGTTTGAATAAAATGTTGAAAACAACGTTGAAAAGAACTGCAAAAGAGGATGAAAACTACGGTTGAATGGGATATTGCTAAAAGACGCGAACACCCACGAACACCCCCAAACTAAAATCTGAGTTAGCCAATCGATAGAGCTCGTCGAGCTGAGTATAGTAATCCTGATTGATTATTGTCGATTATATTATCATAATCATATTATACGTTTAAAACAAATAGATGAATTTGAAAAGACATATCATTCGTCTAATGCCATTCAATGGTATACAAAAGATTGTTTTGCATATAGATTTGTTAATAAAGCATTAAGAACAGCAAATATTGAAGCTTTGTATAAATTAAGATATTTTATTGTTCATATATGTACAAAATGTTAAAAAAATATTTGATGCAAATTTTGAAATGTATAGTGAATATTTCGAAATATTTCATTTTTATCGTAGTTTAACACTATCAGAAAATGAGATATTTCAAATTCAGAATTGTATTGGAAAATGTGTCAACAAATGGTTTTTTATCAACAAGTCGAAATAAAAATGTTGTTGAATTATTTGCTGCAAATGTTTTATTTCATATTCAAATTGATACCTCATTGAATAATATTATATATGCAGCTATTTCTCGTTTGAGTGCAGTACCAGACGAAGAAGAAGTATTATGAATCGTTCAATAAAAACGTGTGTTAAAAACATAATAGAGTAAAACTTCCTAATGTAACCACCGCTTTATACTGACTACTTCTTTATGATCCTATTCAGTATCTTTTTCTTTAGTTGAACCTCACTAATGTGATCACCTCCGTATAGTGACTGCTATGAACCAGTCATGAGAGTGATGACTTTTACTGTAATGGTTTGGCTTTTAAAAGTTTATAAGAAAGAAATTCTCATGTAGTTCTTGCTTGAGAAACTAAAAGATCTATACAAATAGATAAGAAAACTTAAAGAACAAATTATCTTTTTGAAATGTTGTAAATCAGCAATTTAATACCTGATGACTTTCGTATCAAATCTAAACATTATCATTCAAATCATGAAGTTCGTATCACCTTTCCATTGACTTTATCCGAATAAACTGAATTCTTTTATAAATGAAATATGGGCAGAACTTACAGATATTGAGTTGAAAAAAAGAAATATTACCATCAAAGACTGTCGCACATCGATACTTTTTTGGTTTTTGACTTTACGCGACTTGAGAACAAAAAAATCTTTCTTGTTTTATGAAATAAAATGGAAAATTAAATTTAAACACTGCATGAGATTCGTCTTTCTTTGCCCTATCAAATGGTTAAAAATGATACTGTAAGAGCGTTTTTTCAATAAGGACAAAAAATTCGAGGTTCTGGTGGACATTTTGGCGCTTTTTTCCACTTTGAAATTGATTTTTTCGAAAATATCGAATTCCAGTGAGTCTCGTATTGTTCCCGTTCATCTATATCACTAGGACTGTCGAGGTCAATAGGGTAGAGTGTGAAAGCTAATAGACTAGAGTACGAGAAATTTCTATAGTGTAGGGTACAGGATACAAAAAACTCACACCCTACATACCAGTACTCTAAAACACCTTAAAACTTTTTCATCTACATTATAAGAAAGTTGACAGATGTTTCAGTGTAGCTATAACTTGTTTTCCCACTTGTTCGAATAACTGATCATATTCTATGTAAATACCAACTAATTTTGAACATTTTTTATCAGAACCATCATCAACTAAATTTTGATACGATTGCTTATCAATGCAAAAAATATAAATTGAATGAATCTTTTCATGATCATGCATCGAAGTCAACGTCTGATGTGAATATTTGCCACAAACAATTAACAAAATTTTTTCATTTTTCACTTGTGCTATTGCATCATTTAACAGTTCAAATGTCAAGTAGAATTGAATATGATCATGAGTTTCATTTAGTTTGCCTGTAATTTCTTGTTCAATATTTTCATCAAACCAAATTAATGTTATGTCTTCATCTCTTGTTAGTAGTACCAAGTTTGACATAGTTTCAATTTGTTCTTCCGTTATATTACGCTTAAATGGTATCAGACCATCATCTGTCTGTTGTTGTATTTTACGTTTTCTTTCCGTGGTTGCTGTTAACATATTCGATGCCATCATCATCTCAAAGCTAATAAAGATTCGTTAACTTAAATGATATAATGGCAACAACAACGATATGGGTGAATTGCGCTGCTGCTGTACCGTTTGACTGACGTAAAAAATCGATAAAAATAAAAGTGAATATGAAGAAAATCTGAGTCGTACATTTGATAGAGCTTCATTGATTATATACAAACCACGTATTTTCCCAACTGTCTGTTTTTTCGTTTCAGAAAAAATAGAGTTTTCTTAAAAACCAATGTTTTCCGAGATTTCTTGAAGCAATCAAATTTCTGAATGGATATTTATACATTGTTGTCGTAAAAAGCAGATGAAAAAAAGAAAACATTTAAGGTTGTGAGTGATCAGACACTAGTTGTTAATAAATAATTTAAATTTCTTAGTTAAATACTCTTATTTCATGACAGAAAACGGGAAAACAAAGAAAAGATGCAGACCTCTCGGTCATCTAAGGTAAGAAGGATACTCCATAAATGTCTGACAACGTTTCTCATCCTTATCTTGAGAAGAATCGATTGAAGTCTAAAAAGTTGAAATTAACTTATGTTTTCTTTAAATAACTATCATTTTAATCTGTCGCGACATTTTGATGCAAAAAAATTGGTCGAGACATTTTTAGAATAAAATGCCGTTTTCACGCAAACGATACTTATTTACTAGGTGAAATTTTTATCAAAGACTTACCGTCTGATAAGCTTAAAAAGATACAAAAATCGTTGGTTGATCTCTCATAGTTATCGGGAAATCGAAGAAGCAAAATCAAAAATTTGTCGGAACATTTAGTAGAAAAAAATAGCTATCTTTTCCTCTTCGTTTTGGTTTTTTATTTAATCCGGAAGATCGTAGAAAATTTCTTTTTACCAAAAGATTTCTCGCCCTTTCATCTATCAGATAGAAAAAGAAAATTCAGGTTTGCTTTCAAATTGGTTTTAACAGATTGAATTTAATCTGTCGGGACATAAAATAGTCAAAGTGTATGACCATGTAGTTTTTGGGGGATTTAATGGGTATATCGAAGCCCAAGCCTCGATCCATTTATACGGCCAAAAAGAGGAAAGTCTTAGCTGCGAAATAACTATAAAGAATTATTTTAATCCGATCAAAGTTGTGAGACAGAAAAGTAATTCTTGTAAGCAGGTAGCGCTCAAATCCACTGATTTTGATCTTTCTTACTTCAATACTTGGAAAAGACAGCACATAAAAATTTGAAATTTTTACTAGAAATACGACAGAAACTAAGGAGTATGTAGGCAAATTTTGTTCAAACTCATCCAGTAGAAGTTGAGATAAATAAAGCTGTTGAACATCTGGCAGCAAATTTTCAATTGTTAACGTTATTCATAACAAAACGTTGACAATTGAAAATTTGCTGCCAGACGTTCAACAGCTTTATTTACAAATCGGAAGTGTATATAAAATAAAATAAAATTATAATTCAGCAATTAAATATCTTGAAAAATCATTAACAATAATACAAGAAAATACAAGTAAGGCTCGCGAACTTGCCTTGGCTGTAATGAGTTACCATTGTAGTAGAAGAGTAGTTCAAAGCATCAGAAAGATGGCTTGGACATAGCGAATGATGTCAGATATTTTATCTAGAGCGAACATCTATAGAATTGCGCCCTGTATATCAGTCGGTCTGTGCGTCAATATATATTATTTTTTTGCTTCTTTTTTTGTCGATGACTCATCTCGAACATGAATTCTGGCAGACATTTTTTGTTTTCTAGACCCTTCCCTTACATTCAATGGAGCAACATCAGATAACGATCAAGTTAATAGTCTAATTGCACATCAAATTTCGCCTGATGATGATACTGTGATAGTGTCGAAAGCTCGCTGTTTGTAAAATGACATCAAATTCTATTATGGTGTTATGATATGAAAGGAAATTATCATCTATCACTTAAACATTCGTTGAAGTCTTTAGATATTCAACGGATAATTGATCGTCATGACAAAATTAAAATTGCAAATCTCTACAACAATATTAGCTGGTATTATTGTCTAACAGAACAATATGATTTAGCTTTGATTATTTGTATAGATTATTTACGAAATATTTTTCAGGCAGAAGATTTGAATTATATTAATATTCTAAATTGTTTAGCTTTAATGAACTACAGAACTGGTGATCATGAAGGATCATTGAATTATTGTACACAATCAATTGAAATTGTAAAAGGAACAGCGGAAAATGGTGATTATGACAACATAAATCTACTATCCGTTCCAAAATACAGTGCGGTGTGCCACTTTTTGTATAACTTCTCACCGAAGATAGATAGAGACCTGCGTGATAGCCCAGACTATATATAGAGACCTGTTCGATAGCCAAGACTTGAGCAGAACTTTTCACAAGCAAAAACAACTTTGGGAACAATTTCAAAGATCGGGTTTCCAGCGGATCCTTGGAAAACTAGCTCCGTTCTCAGAAAACGACCATACAATGTTAGTCATTCTTCTGCATGCGCACATAGTCCGGATGTTACTCTACAAAATTATGCAAGTGCCGGCTCTCCAGCTATCGTCGTTCGGACAGGGGGGGACACGCTTTTCCCGAGCACGTGTCTATCTCCGAGCAGACCTCTCTGGGAATCTCAAAATGCCATGGAATACAGGTAATCGACTATGCTCAGCGTAGTTCTTTAGTTCATTAAAGCTAAACAATTTAGAATATTAATATAATTCAAGTCTCCGAGCAGACCTCTCTGGGAATCTCAAAATACCATGGAATACAGGTAATCGACTATGCTCAGCGTAGTCGATTACCTGTATTCCATGGCATTTTGAGATTCCCAGAGAGGTCTGCTCGGAGATAGACACGTGCTCGGGAAAAGCGTGTGAAAAAAGTTTTCTATAAATTTTGAATACTACATTAGTTTGCAATAAAAATAACTTTTAAACTTTAAAAAATGATTCCTCATTATACGGTACGATGACAAGAAGAATAGACTACCACAAATTTTGTTGCTCTCTTCTCATTTTAAACAAAATTCTTATATTTCTCCATTTCGAGGTGTTTCTCAAAACATAGGCTTGTGATCAGCTCATACAGCCAAAAATATCAAACTCTGTATGATTTTAAAACGTTTTTACGGTGGAAACACCGACCTGTTAAAATTTAAAAAATTATAAAATTTAAATTTTTGGCGTAATTTAAGCGGTATCAGCTCTCATTGGTCTCATTTGATCTAACAGCTGAAGTTACACCTAGCTCTACGTTTAACGACTTCTCAGCCTATATCCTTCATAACTTTTCCCCTATTATATCGAAATTTAGCAAAAACGGGTTTTGTATAGACAATTTCCGTAAGCACTAACTATGCCTATTCGATTGTCCATCGAAACTTCTTAACAAACCAAAATTTTCAGACTTTAGTCAATAGGCCTCGAGCAAAAAGAAAGAAAGAAGATAGACAGGAGAAAGAGGAGCATTCGCTCACGTGTCTTCAGATATATCAGAAGACACGTGAACGAATGCTCCTCGTTCTCCTGTCTATCTTCTTTCTTCCTTTTTTGCTAGAGACATACTCTTTTGTTGTCGAGTTATAGAATTTTTTACCAAGTATGGATTTGAGATATAGATTCGAGAAAGTTTCTAAAAATGAAAAAGCATTGCTTCTTTTAATTTGATTGTTTTGAAACGTATTTTTTTCTCAATGACATAAGGAGAACGAGGGAGAATCTTGTTGACCGCAATGTACTTGAAGAATGAAATGACACGGTTGGAGAAGTGACTTTTTATGTCATATCTGATTCCTTAAAACTCAATCTGGTTACTTGACATCTACGAGAGCGAAAACGGAAGATACAATTTAATAATCTCTCTTGTCTAACAAAAATAGGATAACTTGTCGATACAGATAGTGAATATTCCCTAAGTCTTGCGAAAGAGATGAAAAGACGAAAGTTGACTACTATGACTTGGTTATTACTTCAAGACAAGGAAAAAATATACTGAAAGCAAAAGACTACCATAATTGCCATCAATAAATCTGTCCTAGATATATCTTTAGTCAGACATTATTTCGTATCTTTATATGCTTCTTCTAGCCAGAATACGTAAAACAGAACATTCTTTTTTCGCTTCTCTGTTGACTTCCTTAAATGTAGTATATATCAATACCGATGTGGTCACACACGTATAGAAGAAACAGAAAGCCTTTGCTTTTAACGCAGTGGCCACGTGGGATTAATCACAGTTTCATCTACCTAACGGTTTTTTTCCTTTATATACTGATAGTCTAAATAGTTGCTAAAAATACTTCATAATGGTTAACGATCGCAGCATAATTAAATCTTTACGAATAAAAATTCAACGTAAAATATTGAGAGGTCTTAAATATGGACGAAAGAAACCTCGTAATTCAAAAACAAAAGTAATAATATCGAAAAATTCATTCAACTTTTCAAAAAATTAAGGTGTCCTCGGTAGTGCCTACATCAAATACCCATCATTAATTAAATTACTTGATTTACATTTGAACATAAAAATGACAAATGACTTAGAATGCGAATGTACGAAAATAAAATTTCTAATAAGAAAACTGAAAGCGGCGAAATATATTCTAATGAATGGCGAAGATATTAAATTACCAAGAGAATATCCACTATTTGTCAAATTTAAACGTATAGAACATGTGTTAAACAAGGACGGACAAAGACGCTACTAAAAGATGCGTTTTTCTCTTTCTGTAAAGTTGTCATCTTGTTTCTTTTCTACTGCTAAGTATTTTCGTTCAACAAATAAACATGAAAATGCTCTCGAACAGATGATTCGAAAATCATTCACACAACTTGATCTTGAACTTGATGATACTGAACTGTTATCGTTGCTCGATGATCTGAAGTGTAAAAATGTTTTACGAGATAATAATATACCAGAGTCAGCAATAATTGTAAATTTAAAATCTTCCAAATTATCTTGTTAAATACATTTAACTGTCAACTCTTCCTAGTCATAACACCACTCATCGAAAATAAACAATATTTTTACAGCTAAAGCACCTCAAAGAAAAGAAAAATACAGTCCAAGCTTTAGAAATGAAGAGGAGAGGTATCTGAAAACGATGGCGTAATATGTGATTCACCCAATAACCACAAAAATCTTAGTTTAGAATTTTTTAACATACGGCTAGAAAAAGAAACTAATTTAATGATTATTAATCTTTGAGGAAGCGTTTATAATGAAGTGTTTATAATGAAAGTTCAACTTACAGTGAAACTTTCCACTTTGCTCTGCATAACAACACATTGCTTCAAGAGGCAAAGTGACTTTAGTACAAAATTTCGTTGAACAGTCTTCAGAAAAGAATCCCGATACTACTTATTTCGATAGTGTTTTCGATGTCGAAATGTAAACGCTTTAGCAAAGTGTACAATGCCCTAGGGAAAGTGAAAATATATTGTTTACACTCTGTGAAAATAAACATGGCGTACAGTGTACCCTTTGATATTGAGACTTCCTCTTCAATCTTTTTACAAGATTTTGACCAATATATATGAGAAAATAAAAAAATTGCTTGCAGTTTTATGAGTTAAGGAACAAGATAGAGAGGAAAGGGGAGAAGCATTGAACGATGACATGCTTTTCGCATCGTTCGACATGCTTTTTTTCCATTTTCAAACCATTATTTGAGAATATTTCTTTTTCTACAAATGCGGACCTCATTTTTAATCCCGCAGAAACAATAGATGATTGAACAAACACAAGAAGCATTAGTTTTTAATTGTATCTCGTTTATCTATGTTCACAATTGATTTTCAGCACAAAGAGAGAATTTGTTGCTAGATCACTAGCGTTAAACTAGCAGCCATATTTGCTGAGCGTTACCTAGTAACATGATACACCTAATAGACTATCGATAAAATCAGACTTACATACTGGAAGAAGCGGTAAGAGCATGCTATGTATTAAGCAATCTATCCAGTATATTACAAGTCTTTATTTCTCTTCACTCAATGTCAACAGCGTTAACAGCAACGCTAAATATTTTGTGCGACATCACACTAGATTATTTCAACAATAAAGGAATGACGATAACTCATTCAAGCAAATTAATAAAGTAATAGATATACAAACACGATATGCACAGTTTCGGTCAAATCTGTGAGGCGCTAGCAAAATTGATTTTTTACTTCGACTCCATATGAAACATCAATTATGAGGTTATCAAAATGCTCAAAAAGATGGATACTGAACGAATCAAAAAAGATCTTCAATTCAACAAAGACTGTACAAAGGACGAAAAGCGAGATGAGAACGGATAGTGAAGGAAGCCACACTCAGAGATAATGATCCCAATCAATACGGGTCTGGAATCGGTTAATGAGATATAGAAAAACAAATACCTATCTTCACATAACTTTGCAATCACGTTTTCTGCGTTTATATCTTCTTCTTCTACTGGCGTGTACTTAGTTGCAGTTTTAGCGTTAGCTTTCGCAGCCATGTTTCGCTTTATTCTCAAGGAGAAACAGAGAGACTTACAGCTATTATTTATCATAAGATAACGTATGGGAAATTTTTTTTCGACTCTTTCTTTTTATCAGCATGTACACAGATATATTTATTCATCATAGCATATTTTCACATTTAAACGAAAATAAAAATATAGATATCCAACGAGAAAAAATGGATAACATTAGAAATATATTTTCGCTTACGTATTATGAATCTACGAACCATGGTTCCAAACTAGTAATCGAAAAGTGTGCTGGGGTATTGACTAACTCATAAGAAAAAGTTTTTTACCATAATACCATTATATAAAAGACAAAAAAGATTGAAAACTTATCTGCATATGCTTCCATACGCGATTGCGTATGCGGCACATGCCTCTACACATATCCGTCGGATAAAGCAAGATCTATAACCTACAGAAAATGTAACTTTTATAAGCATAAAACGTATAAATTTCATCAAAATCAAGAGAAAATTAAAAAAGTTCTCAAGGTCGGTTGCTGTAAGCCGCCTAGAAACCCTTTCTCGTCTGTTTCAGACTCTAATACTATTCTAGTTTGAAAGAGGGCACCTTAAAGTATTTAAATCAGTGGAAAACCATAAATCGATTTTTTTGATCAAAAAGAGGGGAGGTACCCTTAATAGAATGATTAATTGTAACTGGGCTTTGAAGAAAACACTGCTAAAGAACAAAGGCAGTGAGTTGAGTCATAGAATCACACCATAACATTAACAAACGGATTAACAAATATTAGAAACGTTTATTTCATTGTCAATGTTTGTGCACTGATTACCATCCTATTGTATTAAATCAATATTAAACACAGTAAAATATTTCAATTTAGAATATTTATTCATACAACCTAAACAATACTTTACTTTTACTCAGGCATCATTAACTTTCTCCATTTCTAAAGGGCAAAAATACGAACACATAAACAGAAAGAACAACTGACTCAAGATCTCGGAGGTCATAGCGGCCCATGCCCATTAAGAGAGCAAAAGTACTACGATGTTAGAACGTCGTTTGTCTTCGATAGTTTCCATACATTATATAGTGGCGTATTTGTAAGTATAAGTTGAGTCTAGCTTATACTGTAAATTCAAAAAATCGTCTCTTTTCTTTTCTCTTAGAAACAACGTCATCTACATATCGTATTCTTCGAACGTGACAACAATGGAGAAAATATAAGAAAAATGAAATGGGATATCCTGTCTACATTAAAACTCCGCGTGTCGTCATAAAATACTAAAAAGCATTTTTTTCTATTCATTTAGATTACTAGTTGAAACAGAACTCTTAACTGGATGCGTCGATATTATATTTACACGTTTTCGATATCTTTCTTTAAAATGGCATTAATAGATTTCTCTGGTTTCAACCTCCAACTTACCGCAAGAGAGGGTGGCAGTAACGCGCTTTAGCCATTGGGTACATAGCTATTTTGGGATATTGTATATAATGACGCTGACTGTCAATATTGAGTTATCAGTTTGCAAAAATTTTTCACATCTTTCATGAGATCAGGAAAATTAGGTAAACATATATCAGAAATAAACTAGCGACAACTGTGATTCGAGTATATACAACGCTTTCTCTGAGAAATCAATTCCGAGCCAAAAAGATGTTTTCTCGTATGGATAAATAGCCCTGAGTGTCTTTAACTGTATAATTTTGCCGTGTGTGTTCGAGCGTTATCCGTGACCACTTGTATTGTGTGATTCCTGTATTCCCGTTTGAATTTCAGTAATATAAACAACCTCTCAAATTGCTCGAAAAATAATTGAATTGTTGAAGTATGCACCACGACCAACGTGAATCGAGGCAGTTGCACTGCTTGGAACTTAGTCGACACCAGTTGAAGTTTCCAGTTAAAATTGGAAATGAAACAAGCCTTAAATTCAAACTAAACTCATCAACATTACGACACATGGTAATGTACTAGAAAAGATCGGATAGACAAAAGCAGAACCAATTTTTGTCGAGTTAAAAGGGCTAGAACAAATTCATGACTATATCGGATGATCAACTGGTAAGACTGCTGTCGGAACTTCATACATTTTGAAAACCCCCCCTGTTGTTCTAGTTATGAAAATTTCTTGAAATTCTTGCAATTCATTTGACACTTGCATCGAAGTTAGACTTATTTTTTGTGTTTCTGAGATTCTATTTTGTATTCGCATATTATGCTTTTCAGTTTGCTGCAAAATGGTTTCTTAAATTTCTTTCGACCTTTTTGCCGATACGACCTCTATGTTTATCTTCATAAAAGATATTAATTTTAAAATCGAATTCGAGTCGGATCAGAATTTATCATTCTTAGACATAATTGTGATTGACAGTAATGATAAATATCTTTATATGAATATTTTATAAATATAGTGTTTTATTAATTAGTTATATTAAACAGGAAGGAAAGAACAAACTGCGTTTCTTTCTTTCGTGTAGTAAATATTCTTCACACATTTCTCTGTTGATCTAGGCAAGAAACAAATTATTTATGATGAAAGCGGAACGGCGAAAAGTTATTTAACAGTAGCCTCATGCTCAAAAATTTAATATCATTTTTTTAAGTAATTAATTTTATTGTCAGCCAAATAATGCCAGTAAGCCGAAGGCCTATTCTATACTTTCAAGTCTATTTTTCAAATACATATATATATTACAGTATATATATTACGCACTTAATCATTTAAATACATTCAAATAAGGGCTCTACACAACCCTTATATATGTTTGAACAGTGATCTTTGAAACTAGATGTGTACAAGTATGTCAGAAACTGTGAATCTAGTTCTAAGTTTAAATACAATAGCAACTCAACTAGCGCGTTATTTGTCCATATTCATCCTTATATGTGGAACAATTGGTAATATGTTAAATATAATTGTATTTTTGCAACGCTCATTACGTTCGAATCCATGTTCAATTTATTTTTTATCGTCATCGGTATCAAGTTTATTCGCACTCTTTTTTGGTCTTATAACACGGATATTAGCCACATATCAACTGGATCCAACTAATGAGTCACCTGCACTCTGTAAAATAAGAAATTTTTTAATGTTTTCAACATTAACAACATCAACATGGTTTATTGCATTAGCATCAATTGATCGCTATTTTATTAGTTGTCAAAATGTTAAACGTCGTCAACTAAGTGGTTTAAAAAACACTTATTATCTCGTTGGAATTTTAACCGTTTTAACGATGTTAATCTATGGGGAGATATTTTATTGTTTTGAAGCTAACCTTTCAACTCCACCATCACCAATACCGTGTTATTTTAAAAATTATCCGTGTCGGTTATATAATGATTTAACATTTGTAGTTATAGTTGTGCTAGTACCGGGTTTTATAATGTTAGTGTTTGGATATTTAACAGTATTAAATGTTAGAAAACTTAAACTATTAGTTGATGCTACTTCTTCTACTCAAAATGATACAAAAAAAATGAAAAAATCTGATCGACAGTTAATACAAATGTTACTTGTACAAGTTGTGTTAATAACAATGCTGGGATTACCAATAGCCATTCAGCGTTTGTATGCAACATTCACAATATATTTAGTTAAAACACAATTACAATTATCAATTGAAAACTTTGCATATCGATTACTTCTTTTATTTACTTTTATAAGTATGAGTATACCATTTTATTTGTATTTATTAACTAGTACACTATTTAGACAAACATTCATGAATCTATTTCGTAAATATTTAATATATCGAACAACTACAACACAGATACGTGTTTCTACATTAAATACAAAACAAAACGCTGCTGAAGAGACTAAATGATTTGTTCTTCTTATTTACAACTATCTGTATGAGTTTTGTGTACATTTTCACTCGTGCATCTCTTTATATCATTCCAGCCTTATTTCGTTTATTTTCTCTTAAATTGTTTCCAACCTAATTTCATTACAGCTCAGATCCCTTCTATTTGTCTTCCGGTGTTTGTAACAATCATTTCGAGTAATTCTGTTAATCTAACTTTATGTACTTACATATCATCATCTTCAATTTTAAAACGTTTGCGTTCATAAAATCATCATGTTGTCTGACTTGGATGAGTCAAACTGCATAATACGTGTGACTATCGTAACTAACGAAAAATCTCACTTGGTCAAAATAATCTATGTTTTCTGGTTAATGGACGAGATACTAGTCAGAACTGGCACTTTTGCATGCAAATAAGATTTTGAACTCGATTGGATTAATTTCATAGGGGGAGGGAGGGAGCACATGTAGCACCATGAAGCCCGGTAGCAAAAAATAATTTTCGAGAAAAAACGCACTTTGTACACAGGTCACTTTTCAGAGCATTTGCCGCGACGCTTATATCACCGCGAAAACTCATCCGAAAAATTCTGTTCATGCCATCCCCCCTAACTGAGGCTTCTGTATAGAACTTAATCCTTGTAATATTTATTTTGCCTTTGAGGGCACTAGGTGCCAATACGGTACAAAAAACTGTACATCATGTTGAAAAACGTGCTGAAAGGGGTGCAGAAAAAGCCCCTTGCTATCGGTGCTGTCGCGATGCGCTAGCTTGGCTGTCACGGGCAATCGCTGAGTGACCGGTGTTGCATGAAATTGTG